AAAGACCCCCAAAGACCCCCAGAGACCCCCCAAAGACCCTCAAAGACCCTCCCGGGACCCCCAAAGACCCCCCGGGACCCCCGGGACGCGGTACCTTGGAAGCCGAGGAAATAAAGCGAGTGCCGGGGCTTTCCCCCGATGATGCCGAGGCAGGAGCGGAGCTGCAGCAGCTCCTGGAGGGGGAGGACCGGGATCGGTACCGGGACCGGCACCGGGACCGGCACCGGGACCGGGATCGGCACCGGGAACGCCCCCGGTAGCCCCCAGACCCACCTTGACACACTCCACGTACACCGGGTTCAGGCTCTCGCCCCCCAACCGCGCCGGCACCAGCAGGACGAGCCCGCGGTGCCGCTCCGGTTCCGGTGCTCCCGGTATTCCCGGGGTTCCCGGTATTCCCGGTGTTCCGTGTCCCGGTGTTCCCGGTATTCCCGGTGTTTTCGGTGTTCCATGTTCCGGTGTTTCCTGTGTTCCCGGTGCTCCGTGTCCCGGTATTCCCGGTGTTCCGTATCCCGGTATTCCCGGTGTGCCGTGTCCCTGTTTTCCCGGTGTTTCCGGTATTCCCGGTGTTCCATATTCGGGTATTCCCGGTATTCCCGGTGTTCCGTGTCCCTGTTTTCCCGGTGTTTCCGGTATTCCCGGTGTTCCGTATCCCGGTATTCCCGGTGTGCCGTGTCCCTGTTTTCCCGGTGTTTCTGGTGTTCCCGGTGTTCTGTGTCCCGGTGCTCCGTGCCCCGGTATTCCCGGTGTGCCGTGTCCCTGTTTTCCCGGTGTTTCTGGTGTTCCCGGTGTTCTGTGTCCCGGTGCTCCGTGCCCCGGTATTCCCGGTGTGCCGTGTCCCTGTTTTCCCGGTGTTTCTGGTGTTCCCGGTGTTCTGTGTCCCGGTGCTCCGTGCCCCGGTATTCCCGGTGTGCCGTGTCCCTGTTTTCCCGGTGTTTCTGGTGTTCCCGGTGTTCTGTGTCCCGGTGCTCCGTGCCCCGGTATTCCCGGTGTGCCGTGTCCCTGTTTTCCCGGTGTTTCTGGTGTTCCCGGTGTTCTGTGTCCCGGTGCTCCGTGCCCCGGTATTCCCGGTGTGCCGTGTCCCTGTTTTCCCGGTGTTTCTGGTGTTCCCGGTGTTCTGTGTCCCGGTGCTCCGTGCCCCGGTATTCCCGGTGTGCCGTGTCCCTGTTTTCCCGGTGTTTCTGGTGTTCCCGGTGTTCTGTGTCCCGGTGCTCCGTGCCCCGGTATTCCCGGTGTGCCGTGTCCCTGTTTTCCCGGTGTTTCTGGTGTTCCCGGTGTTCTGTGTCCCGGTGCTCCGTGCCCCGGTATTCCCGGTGTGCCGTGTCCCTGTTTTCCCGGTGTTTCTGGTGTTCCCGGTGTTCTGTGTCCCGGTGCTCCGTGCCCCGGTATTCCCGGTGTGCCGTGTCCCTGTTTTCCCGGTGTTTCTGGTGTTCCCGGTGTTCTGTGTCCCGGTGTTCCGTGTCCCGGTGTTCTGTATCCCGGTGTTCCCGGTACTCCCGGTGTTATTCCCGGTATTCCGTGTCCCGGTTTTTCCGGTGTTATTCCCGGTGTTATTCCCGGTGTTTCCGGTATTCCCGGTGTTATTCCCGGTGCTGTTCCCGCTGTCCCCCCCTCAGGGTCGCCCCTCACCAGCCTGGCCACGTCCCCTTTGTAAACTGCCAAAAAAAAAACCAGGGGAGGGGTCTTCTCATTCCCGCCCCCTCCCCCGAAATCCCCCCCAAAACCCCGATTTGGGGAGGGGTCTCCCGTTACCGGTGCAATCCTGGGCCACGTAGACGGCGAGCCCGGGGGTCTCGGTGCAGGACTCCACAGCCCCCCTGCACGGGACGGGAGCGCTGGGTCCGGGGGGGGGTCCCGGTGTCTCCCCCCAGCCCCTCGGGGGTCCCCCCGAGCCCCCCCCGGCCCCGCTCACCGGAGGAGGTGGGCGGCGATGGCGGGACCGAACCAGTCCCCGGCGCTTTTCCCGAACTCCCGGCCCAGCTCCACGAGCCGGTGGATCCCGAAGGGGGCGCGGGGGTGGTCGGAGAACCAGGACACGATGGCTCGGTGCCGCTGCTCCGCCTCCCGGGGGGCTCGGGGGGCGTCCGGGAGGGGTCGTGACCGTCCCGAGGGGTCCCGGAGCTTCTCCGGGGGATCCCGGAGGTGTCCCGGAGGGTCCCGGGGCTGTCCCGAGGGGTCCCGGAGTTTTACCGGGGGATCCCGGAGCTTCCCCGGGGGATCCCGGAGCTGTCCCAAGGGGTCCCGTTCCCGTCCCGAGGGGTCCCGGGGCTGTTCTGGGGGGTCCCGGAGCTTCCCCGGGGGGTCCCGTTCCCGTCCCGAGGGGTCCCGGGGCTGTTCTCGGGGGTCCCGGAGCTTCCCCAGGGAGTCCCGGAGCTTCCCCGGGGAGTCCCGGAGCTTCCCCGGGGGGTTCCGTGCCCATCCCGAGGGGTCCCGGAGCTCTCCCAGGGGGTCCCGGAGGTGTCCCGGAGGGTCCCGGAGCTGTCCCGAGGGGTCCCCTGCCCCTCCCGACGGGTCCCGAAGCTTCCCCGAGGGGTCCCGGAGCTCCCCCGGGGGATCCCGTGCCCGTCCCGAGGGGTCCCGGAGCTTCCCCGGTGGACCCCGTTCCCCCCCGGGGGACTCCGTGTCCATCCTGGGGGGTCCCTCTCCATTCTGGGGGGGTCGCGTCCATCCTGGGGGGTCCCGGCTACATCCCAGGGGGTCCCTCTGTCCATCCCGGGGGTCCCTCGGCCCATCCCGGGGGTCCCTCGGTCCATCCCGGGGGTCCCTCGGCCCATCCCGGGGGTCCCTCGGACCATCCCGGAGGTCCCGTGTCCATCCCGGGGGCTCGCGGCTCCCTCGGGACCTCCCGGCTTTCGGTTCCAGCAGCGCCTCCGGCCACACCCAGTCTGGAAAAGAGGGGAGGGGGCGAGCTCCAGCAGCGCCCCCCGGGTTTGGGGGTCTCTCCCCGGGTTCGGGGGTCTCTCCCCGGGTTTGGGGGTCTTTCCCCGGGTTTGGGAGTCTCTCCCCGGGCTCGGGGGTCTCTCCCCGGGTTTGGGGGTCTCTCCCCGGGTTCGGGGGTCTCTCCCCGGGTTTGGGAGTCTCTCCCCGAGTTCGGGGGTCTCTCCCCGGGTTTGGGGGTCTCTCCCCGAGTTCGGGGGTCTCTCCCCGGGCTCGGGGGTCTCTCCCCGGGTTCAGGAGTCTTTCCCCGGGTTCGGGGGTCTCTCCCCGGGTTTGGGAGTCTCTCCCCGGGTTCAGGAGTCTCTCCCCGGGTTCGGGGGTCTCTCCCCGAGTTTGGGAATCTCTCCCCGAGTTCGGGGGTCTCTCCCTGGGTTCAGGAGTCTCTCCCCGGGTTTGGGAATCTCTCCCCGAGTTCGGGGGTCTCTCCCCGGGCTCGGGGGTCTCTTACCCCGGCCCAGCAGGTGCAGCAGCAGCCCCTGGCCCAGCAGCATCTGGGCGCTGCGCAGGGTGCAGCCCCAGCCGCAGTCGGTGGTGCGGGGGGAACCGGGAAGCGCCGGGAATCCGCTGCGGTAGGTGAGCCACAAACGGGAGCAGAAATCCCGCCGGAACCGCGCCAGGTCCTCTGCAGGGGGAGAGAAAGGGGTGGGAGCCCCCCGGGAGGAGCCTCAGACCCCCGGGAGCAGCCTCAGACCCCTCCCCAAATCCCCGCCGGAACCGCGCCAGGTCCTCTGTAGGGGGGGGAAAGGGGTGGGAGACCCCCGGGAGCAGCCTCAGACCCCCGGGAGGACCCTGAGACCCCCGGGAGGAGCCTCAGACCCCCGGGAGCAGCCTCAGACCCCCGAGAGGAGCCTGAGACCCCCGAGAGGACCCTGAGTCCCCCGGAAGGACCCTGAGACCCCCGAGAGGAGCCTCAGACCCCCGAGAGGAGCTTGAGTCCCCCGGGAGGACCCTGAGACCCCCGGGAGGAGCCTCAGACCCCCGGGAGCAGCCTCAGACCCCCGGGAGGAGCCTCAGATCCCCGAGAGGAGCCTGAGACCCCCGAGAGGAGCCTGAGACCCCACCCCAAATCCCCGCCGGAACCTCTGCAGGGGGGGGAAAAGGGGTGGGAGACCCCCGGGAGGAGCTTGAGTCCCCCGAGAACAACCTCAGACCCCCGGGAGCAGCCTCAGACCCCCGAGAGGACCTTGAGACCCCCGGGAGCAGCTACAGACCCCACCCCAAATCCCCGCCGGAACCTCTGCAGGTCCTCTGCAGGGGGGGGAAAGGGGTGGGAGACCCCCGAGAGGACCCTGAGACCCCTCCCCAAATCCCTGCTGGGATCCACTGTGAGGAGTGAGTGGGAGAGCCCCGAGAGGACCCTCAGACCCCCGAGAGGACCTTGAGACCCCCGAGAACAGCCTCAGACCCCTCCCCAAATCCCTGCTGGGATCCACTGTGAGGAGTGAGTGGGAGCGCCCCGCGCGGAGCCTCAGACCCCCGGGAGGAGCCTGAGACCACCGAGAGGAGCCTGAGCCCCCCGGGAGGAGCCTGAGACCACCGAGAGGAGCCTGAGCCCCCCGGGAGGAGCCTGAGACCACCGAGAGGAGCCTGAGCCCCCCGGGAGGAGCCTGAGACCACCGAGAGGAGCCTGAGCCCCCCGGGAGGAGCCTGAGACCACCGAGAGGAGCCTGAGCCCCCCGGGAGGAGCCTGAGACCCCCGGGAGGAGCCTCAGACCCTCCCCCAGTTCCGCTGGGACCGCTCGGGGATCGGCGGTGAGGGGTAAGAAATGGGGGTGGGAGCCCCCCCAGAGGTAAGAAATGGGGGTGGGAGCCCCCCGAGCCCCCCGGGGGTCCCGCTCACCCCCGTTCCCCGGTGTGTAGACCCTCCCCAGCAGGTACAGGGGGTCCCGCGGGTGGAAGTGGGGCCGCGGCCGCAGCGTCCAGCCTGGGGCAGAGAGAGGGGGGG